TCTTTTGCAAGCTTCTTCAGAGCGACATGAAGGAGAATCGAGAAGGAATTATTCGACTTGAGGAGATCTCAGGAACTATTATGGAAGATGTTTTGGAATTCATCTACACTGGAACTGTGGAGGTGACTCAAGAGAATGCCGAGGACCTGATCGCCGCAGGAAATTATCTGATCATACCGAGCTTGAAAACTATTTCAGGACGGTTTTTGGAACGAGAAATGTCCAACTCCAACTGCATTTCAACCTTTTACTTCGCTGAGAAATATGAGTGTGACGAGCTTGTCACTAACAGTAGATGTTTTATTCACGAAAACATCGTTACCGTCGCAAAACTGGATGAATTTTTGCACTTAGAAGCTAAAGAGATCGAGAAGTGGATTTCGTCCGACGAAATTACAGTTACGGACGAAGCTGATGTTTTTATAATCATCTTAGACTGGATAAACCACAGAAAGAGTGAGCGAAAAGCAGCATTAGAAGAATTGTTTGGTCACGTTCGACTGGGTTTTCTGTCGCGTGACTGTCTGGAGGATGTCGCCACAAACGAACTGGTGCGTGAGAATTTCGCTTGTATGAAGCTGGTCATGGATGCAACCATACAGATGGCTACCTTGGTTAATGAAGACGATTTTCTGCAATCACCAAGAAGATGTCTTGATAAACGTGTCATTGTTGCTCGTGGTGGCAAGTACACTTTTTGTTATCTCTCTAAAGGAGGCCTGTGGAAGCGCTTGCCAGATGGCCTGAAGGACACAAACAGTTTAAAATTGATAAAATTTCGTGACCAGTTGTTGACATCCACCAATTGTCAAATTTCAGAGAGATACGATTCTATTTTTAACGTTTGGTCTGAGCTGAACTTGAGCATAGATTCTGCAAAGTTGGCCGTTCTTAAAGGAGAAATTTACGCTGTTGAAGTTGAAATCTATGGCAGCCGGAAAACTGTCACGAAGAGGTACAATGTAAAGCAGTGTGTATGGGAGACAATTCACACATATCATGAACAGTGTAGACAGGATGCTTGTGTTATTGCAGCCGGCAGACATCTTTATTCGTTTGGTGGTAGGATTCCACGATCAAGTAACTACGTCGTCATAGCTGAGAGATTTGACACTGTGGAAAACAAGTGGGAGAGAATCGCAGATATGCTGGAAGGAAGAAGCGACGCTTTTGGCGTGGCCTCTCAAGAAAAAATCTTCGTTGCTGGAGGAAAAAACTCTACGGGAAGGTTAAAAGCTTGTGAGATGTACAATACGTTAACAAACGAATGGCAACTTATTGCAAACTTGAATGTCCCACGCTGTTATGGTAGTATGGTTTGTCTGAATGGAAAGCTGTACGTACTAGGTGGAGAAAATCAGTTCCGCGATAATCGGGAGCTAAGAGTTGAATGTTTTGACCCTGCAAACGACCAATGGATTCACGAAACAACCATACCAGTGACAAACATTGACCCAGAAAATAACAACACATTCACGGGCTCTGTTCTGAAGCTTTCTAAAGAATTACTAGACAAACTTACGATTGTTGAGTAGTGTTTATCCGCCACTTTACAGCTTTAGAATTAGTCGTGTTTTTCACAGTAGACAGAAGGCACAGCCATTCGATTTTTATTGCCTAAAAATTGAACTGACAAGAGTGTCAGATATTGCAAATCGGAATGCCAGATCCCCAACAGACAAAGCTAAGCGAAGCCTCATCATTATCAGTAAAAGTTCCTGCTCAAGTTTTAGTTTCCTTTGGGGGCCATGTTTACTGATATTTGGGGACTCATCCATGGTCATATCAGAGTACCCTTTGGGCTTCTCTGCCTCAATTTGCTTATCGCCTTTCCAGTAATTCATATTCTCGGCTATAGGAAGTAAGTACTCAAATAAGGTTCTGAAAGCATCTGTATTTTGCATGCCCGTATAGAGTCGAACATCAGTATCTCTGGTTATTTGTGCAGAGGCTGTACACAGTGTTAACCCCGGGGAATCGTCTCCACTTCTCATCAATTCATCACTTGCAGGTATACCACTATTATCAACCGGTTTTACCTCTGAAGGGCCAGCATGTACAACTGACTTGGTTACAACTGACGTTGCAGCCTCCTTTTGATACTCTAATTAACGCCGCTTTTTGGGTGACTTACTATTTGAATGCTCAAAAGGAGTAAAAAAAAGTAGGTATAGGGTTGCTAACAGAAGGCTTCCCGTCTCGAAAATGATTAGAGCAGACGACAACACTCTCCCTTGACTTTCTTATTCAGAAATCTTTTCTTCCCATCTGAACCTGTCGAGACCATGCTTCAATCAACGATTGCTTGGGCTTGTGGAACGATAACTTCTCTACATGCGAGTGGATGACCCATTTTTTCGGATGTCTTCTACCGTTGTTACAGCCGCCGACACAACACTTATCTCCAAAACCCATTTAACCAAGGGTTTCTCTTTGCCGAGTTAATTGTTTTCAATAGTATGTTAGCCTGTCTGGACGAAAAAGTTTTAAGAACACGTAAACATATTTATTTCAATTTTTCCTCTGCCCAATTAAGTTACTTAATTACAAAAAGTCTTTCGAAAAAGCAGTTCTGTGACCTTCTGGCATTGTCGGCCGCGAGATCACGTTCAAAGAAAACGATCCCAGTGTTCCTATAAAAACCCGGGAAGAAAAGGTTTTTCGCCTAGAGAAAAAAGGTCACTCACCTTTATTAATGTCTTATCTTTTTCAGCGATGGATATTGATTCTTGTTCCTAAACAAAGCGAAAATTAAACGAGGATAGCGATGCGCGTCTTATTATCATAAGAGATTATATGGCTCACTGCCTAGCAACGAGGTTTTGTTTGACCCCCAACCAATTTGGCCGCTGAAACCGTGGAAGGATCTATTTAGAGGCTCACCTACGGAAATGCTGGGTTAAATCAAAGGTCCCCTCTTACTATTTACTGTTTGCTTTGAGCCTTCTACTTTAAACTGTCACACTAAAGATAGCATGTGTAGTCATGTTTACAGCACTGGACTTCTAAGTCGTTAATTATCCTTGACTGCTGAGCACCTTTCATACTGAATGCTTCTCAGGTCAAAACCATAGCATTGCTTGAGTGGACATAGGGGCGTACCAGGGCGTGGGTGGTACTTCTGTGGCCTGGGCCAAACTAAATCCAGGGCATTGTGTGGATTTTTCAAAGGGGGGTCACACTGTGACAAATGGAGGGTATTCACCAGATTTTTATGTTGACCTTCACGCCGTGTTTACTCAATGTGACCAAAAAAAAAGCCTTCAAGGGAAGGGGGCTCACAGGCACCCCAGGACTCCACTGGCTATGCCCTTGTGTATGTAATTAGAAAAAGGGTCATCAAATCAGCTGTTTTGAGAAAATTTGATTAAAAGAAGGTTGATTATATGGAAATTAAGAGGCAATCAACAAAAAAAAAAACAAAAAAACAACAACAAAACACTGTTTTTATTCTTAAATGAAAAAATCTGAATAAAAAAAAAGGAAATAATGAAAATCCTATTGAATACCTAAACTGAAAAATATGCGAATTTTATGGCAAAAACATTATAAAACTAGTTATCTCAAAAATGTCTAGAAGTCAAGTTTACAGCAACACTGACTTTGTAGAGCAAAATAATATTTTAAACTTCTTACAACAGCAACAGACATTATAATGTTAGCTTAGATTTCATTTAAGCATTCTCAGCACATGGCGGCGTGTAAGTCGGCCCTCGGCCGCTCGCTAACACTTTGGCTTGTCTCAAGTTTAATTTTCAACTCCATTTATCGCAACCCACTGAATCTGGAAGATAAGAGTCTAGGGATATGCCTGGAAGGATTTGTTGTCGCAAGAGCTTTATGTGTGCCGTTTATAAGCCTTTCTAGACTTCAAACACGAATCAAGTCATCCGCCATTGTTCCAGCTC